CCATCCATCCACTCACCCATCCAACAGATGTAGTGACCTAGGATCCAGCGGTGGGTTACATGCACACATCGTTACACATCCTACAGCTAGCACATAGGGATGGAGGGGGCGGGCGGGGCGGAGGAGGAGGGGGGAAACTATCTACATCAAAATGTAGTAACTTTGCCAGAGGCTAGACTTTCTAGATCAAATGTCCTTTCAAAGACAATTCAGTGGAAACTCTTCAACACACAATCTGTTGCACCATTAAGCATGGCAGTTAATTTGATTTCAGTAAAGTCCTCCCAACCATATAGATAAACAAAGTATTTTCAAATGGGGAGATCTTGTCAAAGGACAAACAGACTAATTTTAGCAGTCATTTCCCTGCTGGATTTTTATTGCTGGTGAAACAAGACACACGGCTGGGCAATTGCATGTTACCCGAGCATGCAGAAGAGGCTCCCCAACAACACACCCCTGGCTTTCCGCGAAGGCTGGAGAGCAGAGCCTGGTGAGCATTCTAGAGATGGAATACTGAGACGCGCTGCAGCCCCACACTGCCATCAGCAGTGTGCAAGGTGGTTTTGTCGCAAAATGACCACCAGTGAAGGTGGGAGGGCTCTAGAGAGATGAGACTGGATATGCTAACTTGGTTTGCCAACTGCGGCTGGGAATTCTGATTTTCTTTAGGCAGAAAGGAGAGGAAAGGCAAAGATAAATCTGAATCCTCTGCCTTCTCAAGTGACCCTGAAGGTCAGGGAGTTGAATGCAACTAATCTGATAATGGTTCAGTTTTGCTGCAGATCTATTTTCATTGTGTGTGTGCGCGCGCGCGTGCGTGCGTGTGAGTGAGTGAGAGAAAGAGAGAAAGAGAGAGAGAGAGAGAGAGAGAGAGAGAAAGGGGGAAAACGGGGAGATGGGGAAGTAGTGAGGAAATGGGAAATTTCCCTCTTCTTCCAGAAGTTTGTAAAAATGTATTTAATCATATATTTTTATAATATTCTTCAAAATAAATTCTGTTGTATGCCCGCTCATTAGCAGACAGCATAGCACTGGAGATAGCTGTCACTAGAACCAGACCCACACTCGATAATCTAATTTAAAATATTTATTTCTAAATTATTATCCACTGACTATAGTCTGTTTTACAAAAAAAAACCCAAAAAAACAAAAAAAACCCTTCTATTTTTAAATAACTCTTCTAGTCTCAATGAAAAAAATACATTGTTTTGTTCAACTCAAATTTGTATAGGAATTGGCTACTGAATACACTAATAGAGACTGCTATAATCAAGTTAATCCCTTAAGAAAGCATAATTCACAGATGAAGCAGTCATCTGTATGTTGTTCTGAATCACCAAGCCTTGCCCGGCAGTTAAAAAGGGGACAAAGAAAAGAAGGCAAAGGGATTAAGAAGTACAAATGGATAGTTGCAGAATAGACATGGAGATGTAGAGTGTAGCATGGGGAAGATGGTTAATAATGTAATAAATATGTAAGGGGGGAGAGGGGTACTTGATTTGTGAGTTATGTGGATCTTTGATCACTATACTACTGAAACTGGTATGTTATTGTATGCCAACTATAATTGAAAAAAAAACCTCATTGAATTGTACTATGTAAATACAAGCAACTAATTGTCTATTATATTTGTATAAATATAATTGTCTATTATATTTCAATAAAAATGGAAAAAAAAAGAGGCTTGTGTTCCTGGGCTCAGTGAGGCCAGGGAGTGATGGCCACGCCCCATCTTTGGAAGCTTGATGGTGATTCACAAGGGGTGGAGATGAAAGAAAGGACTTGCCTGAGGCCATAAGGAAAGGACCAGCTGATCCAAGGACTGAATCCCAGAGCCCCTGCACCCCACACTTTCCTGCTCCTTGAGGCAATAATTAGCACTAGAGCCTAATGAGGTGCTGGTAACATCCTAATGTTTGCTTGGTGGGGTCCTAAGCCACCAAGCAAATAAACTATTTCCGCATTACCCTCCCAAGTTCTGCAGTGATGGGTGGAGGGCACTCTCTGC